CTCTCTCTCTCTCTCTCTCTCTCTCTCCCTCTCTCTCTCTCTCTCTCCCTCTCCCTCTCTCTCCCCCCCCCTCTCTCTCTCACACACACACACACACTCACACACTCACAAACACACGGATGTGGCAGAAAAAGAACATGTGTAAGGATGGTTGACTTCCAAATAGTCTCCTTAATGTTTTTATTATGAGTACTGTAGTTTACGTTCATTGCAGTACATCAGGGCGGTGTAATCTGAAGTCCCGGTGCTTCAGGGGCCTCTGTAAACTTGGACGGAATCCCCCTAATGGGAAGGAAAGACTTCCCAGAAGTAGGTTTGAGAAATTCATGAATCACATCTCTTACAAAACTATTAATAGCTGCTTGGACTGATAAAAGAGAGAAAAAGAAATATTTGTTCCAGTTGCTTTCCTGCCTCTGTTTGCTTGTATGGACTCATTTGCTGGCACGGTCTCGCCTGCCTTGCCCAGGACAATCTGGCTGGAGGAGAGAATGCAGCAATAAACAGGACTTTCTTACACAAACTCACACACGCACACAGAGGGGGTGGTGGTGATGTAAAAATAAGTATTTTGTTAAGATGGTAATCGTAGAGGCCTGATTGAAGATGTCCTTGAGTATCTGCTCTTGCTATAATCTAACTCTTCGACTTACCATCTTGAATATATAACAGAAGCTTCCTTCTTTTTTTTATATATTCAAGATGGACAGTATATAATAATAATAATAATAATAATAATAATAATAATAATAATAATAATAATAATAATAATAATAATAATAATAATAAAGTTGGAAGGGACCTTGGAGGTCATCTAGTCCAACCCCCTGCTCACGCAGGAAACCCTACACCATTTTGGACAAATGGCTGTCCAGTCTCTTCTTAAAAACTTCCAGTGTTGGAGCATTCACCGCTTCTGGAGGCAGGTTGTTCCTCTGGTTAATTGTTCTCACTGTCAGGAAGTTTCTCCTTAGTTCTAGGTTGCTTCTCTCCTTGATTAGTTTCCACCCGTTGCTTCTTGTCCTGCCTTCAGGCACTTTGGAGAATAGCTTGACTCCCTCTTCTTTGACGGAGCCCCTGAGATATTGGAACACTGCTATCATGTCCCCCCTCGTCCTTCTCTTCATTAAACTAGACATACCCAATTCCAGCAACCATTCTTCATATGCTTTAGCCTCCAGTCCCCTAATTATCTTTGTTGCTCTTCTCTGTTATGTATATATAGGGGTGTGGGTCTATACATATGTTGTATATAGTATGTTTAGGTGTGTGTCGTGTATGTGTTTCATTTTGAGAGCGGGCAACTAAATTTCATTTTTGATGTGTGCCATTGGGCCCACAGTGAAAAAATGACAGCAAAGGTTATCTTGTCTTGTCTTGTCTTACTACCACAACCAAGCCCCAAATTTGCATTGCTAAGCGAGACAGTGGTTAAGTGAAGTTTTGCCCCATTTTACAACCGTTCTTACCACAGGCATGAAGTGAATCACTGCCGTTGTTCAGTTAGGAACATCCTTAAGTGAATCTGGCTTCCCCGTTGACTTTGCTCGTCAGGGGGTCACAAAATGTGATCACCTCACCTGTCATAAATACATGCCAGTTGCCGAACCTCTGACTTCTGACATGACCATGGGGATGCCGCAAAGGGCACAACTGTGAAAAACAGTCATAGGTCACTTTTTTCAGTCCTGTGGTTAGGATCACTAAATGAACCGTAGTCGAGCACTATGTCAACGCTGCTAACATCGGATGTTTTTGCATTGACATGTAGCCATCTTTTCCCTTTTGCTTTTAGATGATGCTGGGAGGGAAATGTAGCCATCTTTTCCCTTTTGCTTTTAGATGATGCTGGGAGGGGGGGTGTGAACGAGAGTCTAGCTAGACATAACAACACTAAACCTAGGGTGAGAATCAAGGTTATTGTAACCAGAGCTGATAAGGAATTGGCGGGCTGGAGAACTGGAGAGGAAGCCCGCAATTCAAGCTAATTGGGGAATGTGATTTATGACTGTTAATTGGAGGAGGGAATTGTGCTTTGATACTATGTGCTCAGGGGAGGGAAATTCAGTTTTTGGCTTCGATTATGCAGTGCCAATATTATGCTATTTGAATAAAAGATTCTTTAAGGTAAACAATGCCTCGAAGTTCTTTTGAAGAGTTTCATCTGTCGGAACCATGACACACTACTTGCAGTGGGGTGGAGGGGTGGATGGGAGGGTCTTCCCGAGGGGTCTGCTGTCTCGTTGGCTTGACCTAATGCCAATTCTTTCTTCTTGCAGCTGATTCGATGCCATCAGTCCCGGGGTGGAGCTTGCGGAGATAACATTCAGTCCTACACCGCTACAGTCATCAGCGCAGCCAAAGTGAGTGGATCGGGAGCCCTTTCAGTGGCTTGCACGGCAATGTACTTTTTATTTAAAAGTAGTTTTTATACTGACTTTCATTCTAGGGTTGCGTACACCCAAAAAACATTTATTGAAGTTGCATAACTCCCCTTTCCTCAAAAGAGATCTAGGCCAAAATAAGAAAACTGCAGGTTCTGTAACAATAAAATACAAAAAAAACCTCCTGTAACAATAAAATACAAAAAAAAAGTCAAACAAGTTAAGGCATTTTCACATAATGATGATGATGATGATGATGATGATAAAGTTGGAAGGGACCTTGGAGGTCATCTAGTCCTGCTCAGGCAGGAAACCCTACACCATTTTGGACAAATGGCTGTCCAGTCTCTTCTTAAAAACTTCTAGTGTTGGAGCATTCACCGCTTCTGGAGGCAGTCTTCTGCCTGTTTGTCCTACATAGTGGTTGCTGCAGTCCTTACGTTGTATGTTGTAGATGCTTTCTTTTTTTCTTCTTCTGTGGTTGCTGGGTCTTTTATAATAATGATAAAGTTGGAAGGGACCTTGGAGGTCATCTAGTCCAACCTCCTGCTCAGGCAGGAAACCCTATACCATTTCGGACAAATGGCTGTCCAATCTCTTCTTAAAAACTTCCAGTGTTGGCGTATTCACTGCTTCTGGAGGCAGGTTGTTCCACGGGTTAATTGTTCTAACTGACAGGAAATTTCTCCTTAGTTCTAGGTTGCTTCTCTCTTTGGTTAGTTTCTACCCGTTGCTTCTTGTCCTGCCTTCAGGCGCTTTGGAGAACAGCTTGACTCCTTCTTCTTTGAGGCAGCCCCTGAGACATTGGAAGGCTGCTATCCTGTCCCCCCTCGTCCTTCTCTTCATTAAACTAGACAGACCCAATTCCAGCAACCGTTCCTTATATGCTTTAGCCTCCAGTCCCCTAATCATCTTTGTTTCCATCCGTTGCTTCCTGTCCTGCCTTCAGCTGCTTTGGAGAACAGCTTGACTCCCTCTTCTTTGGGGCAGCCCCTGAGATACTGGAAGACTTCCATCATGTCACCCCTGGTCCTTCTCTTCGTTAAACTAGACATGGTTGGAACTTCAATGTAGCTGTGCTTTTTTATAAAATGGGGATTTTCGACTTAAATCCAATGTTCACTCCCAAAATGGTTATCCAGAAACCCACAGGCACGGCAGGAGCCCAGCCCCGGCAGAGCCGGTGGTCAGGCACGATCAAGGCTGAAACAACATCTGGAGGGCCACCATTTTGACATAAATATAAATGTGAATGAAGAAATATATATTTTCACAGCATGATGATATATGCCTGTAAAAAAAAAAAATTCACGTCTCTGAATATGGAAATCCTACGGAAAACATCTGGGTAAGATTAAAGAGTAAAAAGTGGTACCTCTGCGGGCATCAGCTGCAGGCCACCTACCCAGAGAGAAGACGTGGAGGGTGGCTTTTGAAATCCTAGCCCAAATACAGGTAGTCCTCGACTTAACGACCACAATTGACCCCAAAACCTATGTTGCTATACCAGACAGTTGTTAAGCGAGCTTTGTTCCATTTTACGACCTTTCTTGTCACAGTTAGTAAGTGAATCACTGCAGTTGTTAAGTTAGGAACACGGTTGTTAAGTGAATCTGGCTTCCCCATTGACTTTGCCTGACAGAAGGTCGCAAAAGGGAATCGTATGGCCCTGGGACTCTGCAACGGTCATAAACATGAGTCAGCTGCCAAGCTTCCGAATTTTGATCGCGTGACCACGGGGGATGCTGTGATGGTCATAAGTGTGAAAACGGTCGTCAGTCACTTTTTCAGTGCTGCTGTAACTTCGAATGGTCACTAACTGAGGACTACCTGTATTCAGAAACGACTAGAAATAGCGAGGATTGGGAAACCAGATAGAACTAGAAGGAGAGAAGCAACCTAGAACGAAGGAGAAATTTCCTAACGGTGAGAGCAATTATCCAGTGGAACTACTTGCCTCTAGAACAGTGTTGTGGGTGTTCCATCAATGGAGGCTTTCAAAAAAAGGCTGGACAACCATTTGCCTGAAATGGTATAAGGTAGTGGTTCTCAACCTTTTTAATGCCGCGACCCCCAACCGGTCGTAAGTCGAGGACTAAACCGGTCATAAGCCGAGGACTAAACCGGTCGTAAGTCGAGGACTACGCAACCGGTCGTAAGTCGAGGACTTTCCCTGCCCGGGAGCGCCGCGCATGCGTGGTTCCGCCCCCTGCGCCGGCCGAGGCGTAGCTGGCAAGCGGCAGAGACGGAGCAGGCCAACCACCAGCTGGCCCAGCTCAAGGGAGGTAAGGCACCCACCGGAAAAGGGGGAAAAAAATGGCGGACAGCCTTGCTTGGTGACCCCCGTGAAATGGTCAATCGACCCCAAATGGGGTCCCGACCCATAGGTTGAGAACCACTGGTATAAGGTCTCCTGCCTGAGCAGGGGTTGGACTAGAACAGGGGTCTTCAAACTTGGCCCTTTTATGACTTGTGGACTTCAACTCCCAGAATTCCTCAGCCAGCGTGCCTGGCTGAGGAATTCTGGGAGTTGAAGTCCACGAGTCATAAAAGGGCCAAGTTTGAAGACCCTTGCTCTACAGTCTGGTAGGAAAGTGTGACACACAGATCCATCGTTCAGGAATTCTGTTCTGGTGGTGGCCTTCTGTCAGGCATCCTTCAGTGGATTTTTGGACGGAGTAAAGGGTTAGATTAGGTAACAGCCCCTTCCAGCTCATTCCTTCTAAATTTATATCTGTAACTTCAGTTAAACACAAAGAAACATTGTCATTTAACTGCAAAAACGCTTCCCTTTCTGGGCTCCCGAAGCCACGCTTATTATAACTCCATCATTTTCTCACTTTCTGGGAGATGTCATGGCGGTTTGCAAGAAAGGGATTGAAAATTTGAAGTTTTCAATTGGTGGGCTTGACCGGCTTCTTCAAAAACCACCCACAGCAAAAGGCAGGGAATGTGCGCATTTCCTTCGAATAAACAAGCAACATTTTGAAAAGAAAAAAAAATGTATATCCCATAATGATGACTATGGATGCCAAGCAATCTTCTTTTAAATGTGCGGAGAAAAAACCCCACAAGTTTTATATCAGTCAAAAGAAATATGAATCTCTGTGTGTGTATTTTGGGGAGGGGGGAGGAATATGGAATCGTGTTACACAATTTGTTTTGTCATCTTTAATACGTTTTCTTAATGTCATGAATTCCAGCCACATATTTCATGTTACATAGTACATATCATGTTCCTTTCTCTCTGACTCGTTTTTCTAGCCATTGATAAAAATTGTCCCATGTTCTAAAGTATACTGAATCTTCTTTCTCTTTTATCTTCAAGGGTCAGTCTGTCCATTTC